GTGGATTGGAAAAGAAATTCAATAAATCTTCACAATTTATTCTTCTTTGTTTTATTATAATGCCTTTTGAAAAGACATTCATATTTAGTTATAGATATGTTTAAAACTCAGTGATACCATTTATATCAATTCATGTAGCATCTCAGAAAGCATGGTCCTGTGACATCTTAGGAAAGTTTTCTAATAATCACAGCAAGGCAAGATAGCCTTCACCCTATTTTCAGGCCCAGTTTCCAAACTCAGTGCTTACCCATCATTAAAAAGAAACAATAGCATGACCAAAGTATACTAAACCTCCAAGTTCAGAAACCAATATTTGATAAAGATTTTTAAGTCATCATACCTATAAGCTGGTGGATTGTCACTTATGCGTCTGAATTCATTATAGACTATTGAGATGATAATCCAGGTTCATACAAATTCTGCAGATGCAGATGGATCTTTTTCTCTTATGTATTGAGAACTTACTTGAGGATAAAAAAAGTCAAGAAAGTTCTTGCCTCATATTGCCAATCAATAAATGAAGGAAAATTGATGCGATCACTATGTAATCCTTTAAAAAAGAAAACCCACCTTGTTTTTCACTGCCAGTAACCCAGTCCGGCCTTTATTCTCTTTGTAAACTCAACACAAGTAATCCAGATGTGACTCGCTCTTTATAATTAAGTATGTAATATTTCAATCTTCTTGCTTTGTGGAAATTATGGGTTTGTGGTTGATTAAAATATTCAGCAAATGTAGTTTCATCTTTTAGTTTAAGAGAAAAATACGAATGACATTGCCGGTTGAATGCCCATCAAAGTAGCAAAGACCTTCCCCAGACATACATTATTCACCTGCTGAATTGGAGATGATTCACGTTTCAGTGTCTTCACAGGTGTTAACTTGGCCAAACAAACAGGTAAATCACTTTCCATTGATTTTTTTTCTGAGGCAAGTTTCCAGTAAAATTGTTTTACTTTGAAATATACATATATAAGTCCAGGTCATGCCCATTTGAAAAATGAATTTGCATCAACTTCTGAGATGTGAAGACTATGCCATTTATATTTTGTCCAAAGAGACAAAGTTGAGTTCCTCCTAACTAAATCAGGAGGTGGGGAGTTCTAGATGAGGATTTCATGCAGTACTGAATTACACAAATGGAGATCTGGGTTCACATAAAAGGGGTCTGGAGCCCTGACCGGTTTGGCTCAGTGGATAAAGTGTCAGCCTCTGGACTCAAGGGTGCCGGGTTCGATTCCAGTCAAGGGCATGTACCTTGGTTTCGGGCACATCCCCAGTAGGGGGTGTGCAGGAGACAGCTGATCGATATTTCTCTCATTGATGTTTCTGACTCGCTATCCCTCTCCCTTCCTCTCTGTAAAAAAATCAATAAAATATATTTTTTTTAAAAAAAGGGGGGTCTGGAAAAGAATGCAGAAAGAAACCTACCTACAGCGATCTAGACAACACAGATGCGTGGCTGTGAAACCCAGAATGTTGCTGATGAGGAGGTCATTGGATATTTATTGCTCATGCCCAGGAGCTTGTGGGTGGCTATGGGGAAGAATAGCCTCTGTTACTGGTCTTGCAGGAGCCCACCCAGTGGTAGTGTCACTGCCCAAGCTTCTGACTGCACTGCATGGCCTGTCCCAGGTCAGCCGTGCTCTCCTCTCTGACTCGGTGTCATCACTGGTCTCTCAGATGTATGATTCTTCTTAACAAATGCCTTTGTGGAGCTGCTGGCTTGCATTGTTCTCATTTTGCTAATCAATATTCACCACATATTCCCTCATATCTGTTCCCATAAGATAAAGAAACTAGGGAAGATTACACTCTGCAAGCCCACTATTTGAAGATGTGGTGACTGAGGATGTTAGGGCTAGATCTTAAATTTGGATATAGGAGACATAAGACAAACAATAGGGAAATGTTCTTTATACATGTAGTGCTCTTGTTAAGTGATGAATGTGGTATTTTAAGAAAATCAGTCTGAAAGTAATATACAGGAGGTATTGGGACAGGGGAAAACTGGTGTTACAGAGAGCTAAAGATTACACTAAAAATCTAAAAATTATTAATATTTTTGCATCACCCTAGAGTTTTCAAAGAGTTTTGCACACGCTTCATTTGATCTTTACTTTACCCGAAGGGTGGATCTGAAAGATGATATTATCTTCATTTCACACATGAGGAAATAGGAACTTAGGAGTAGTTGAATGACTTGCCCAGAGTCACACAGCTGTGAGAGATGAAGCCAGGATTTCCATTTGTCACACCTGCCTCTAGTTGATCCTAACATGATTGTATCTTGGATAAACGTGGTAGCAGTAATGGAGAGGGAGGGACAACTCAGAGAGCTTTTGAAATAACAAGTGAAATAAATTGGCCATTGATATGGTATCTGTCTATATAAAAGGTTAACATGCTAAGTGTCCGACCATCCGGGTAATGACATCAAGTAGCAACACCTGGCTTCCTCTCCCTAGCACTGACTAGCCTCAGGTGGAAGCACTTTATACTGTAACCAAATGTCTGTGAAACATTTTCCTGTGCCTCATCTCATTTGATCCTCACAGAAGTCCTGGAGTAGGTAGATAGGAGACTCAGTGGAATCCTATTTTCTTTTCATTAGCTGGAAAACAGATTTAGAAAGCTTAAAAACTTGACCCGACTGAAAAGAAGAAACAAATGGTGGACCTTGAAAATGACTTCAGGTTTTCTCCTTGTGCAGAATATA